ATCATCCCATACTGTTGAATTTTGCAAGGGGGGTCATTTTTGAAAAATGAGTCAGTTTAGAATACCAAATAAATATTGCTTTTAATTTTTCTAACAAAATTCTTGTATAACATCACATCTAGACACAAAAGTTCATTTACTTTATGGAACACTTACAACTGTAAAAACCTCAATGAAACAAAAAACACAATTATATTAGATTAAGTGTTAGTTGAGTAATTATTGAAACAATTCGATAGGTGATTATTACAACTACAATTAGATTAAAGCTAATAATTAAGTGGTACATATCTATCTCCAGCAGTAAAAAAAGGAACAGGTCAAATTAAGCTCACTTATATAGAGCTATATAAAGTTTGAGCTATATAAGAGCTTATATAGAGCTATATAAAGTTTGAGCTATATAAGAGCTTATATAGAGCTATATAAAGTTTGAGCTATATAAGAGCTTATATAGAGCTATATAAAGTTTGCAACAGAACAAATGATATTTAGCTGTAAAGACGCAAGAGAAAAAAAGAAATAATTGATTGTAATAGAAAGAGTGTTTAATAAACACTCTTTCTAATACAATCAATTTCTTATTTTTTCCTCTTGGGCCTTTACAGTAAATAAGACTTGTTCTGTTGCAAACTTTATATAGCTCTATAAAAGTATAAATATAAAGTAAATCAAGTATACAGTTGCTTTTAATAATACAATGGACTTTCTTAACTACCTGCTGCAAACCTAAACATATTATATTATATCTATATAATAAACAGTGTTTAATGTATAGTTGTAATATAACATAATATGCTTAGGTTTGTAGCAGGTAGTTAAGAAAGTCTATTTTACTTTTGAAAGCTAATGCAAACATGATTTATGTTTATTTTTTAGTCCATCTAAAATCATTCAAAACTTATACAAGCCAGGGCACTGTTTAGAACATATAAGGTAGTAACCTCATGAGGAATTGAGAAACAGGTCATAATTGAACTATGTGCATACATGTTTTTGTAGAAAAATATGGGTGAGTTGAAATAGACACTCTTATGAGAGGATATGAATCTTTGATTTTTGTACTTACAAACTTTCGTAACTAGAATAGCAACATTTAATTACTTATATGAAACACATGCGATTTCATTTGTATTTAGTTTAATATGATTTAATCATTTTCACAACTTAATTTAGTTTATACGGTATAGTGGAAAAATTTGTTTTGATATTTAATTTGTATGATAACCGCTAAACCATCACCGAGATGATGGTTTAGCGGTTTTTAAAAATGCTAGTGGCCACCTTATGGACACGATAAAAAAACATATTTTTCAAATTTTCAAATTTTCAAATTCAAATTTTTAAAAATAACAATCTTTCTATCTCCATACAATGTAACATGAAAGTTGTGAACTTCCTTGATGTAACACTTTATCTCAATGATCAATCTTTTAGACCATTTTGTAAACCAATCAATGAACTAAATTATATACATGTTGATTCCAATCACCCTCCTAGCATAATAAAGCAACTTCCTCGTTCTATAGAATTAAGGTTGTCAGCTAATTCATCTAATGACACTAGCTTTCGAAGCTCTGCTCATTTGTATCAGGATGCATTAAAAAAGTCTGGTTACAAATTTAAACTTAATTATATTCCGAAACTCATTCAACCTCTACCAAAAAACCGTAAGCGCAATATTATCTGGTTTAACCCCCCATATAGTAAAAATGTTTCTACTAAAATTGGTAAAATCTTTTTGGATTTAATTGACAAGCACTTTCCAGTTGGACATAAATACCACAAGATTTTTAATAGAAATACTCTAAAGGTGAGTTACAGTTGTATGCCAAACATCAAATCAATCGTTAACTTTCATAACCGTCATATTATGAAAAGCATCCCCCCAGAATCAGATAAAAGTTGCAATTGTATTACTAAAAGCAAGTGCCCTTTAAATCAACAGTGTCTCGTTAATAACATAGTGTATCAAGCCACTCTATATCCAGGCACTCCAGACGGGATTGAAAATGTGTATTTTGGAGTAAGTGAAACTGCTTTTAAACTTAGATACGCTAATCATACAAAATCTTTTAAGATCGAAAAATATAAAAACGATACTGAGTTGTCTAAGGAAGTATGGAAGTTAAAAGAAAATGGAGTAAACCCGACAATTAAATGGAAAATTTTAAAACGTTGTAGATCTTACAATCCCACAATAAAACGATGCAACTTATGTCTATACGAAAAGTATTTCATAATATCGTACACCTATGATAACTTATTAAATAAGAGGAATGAATTAGTATCTAAATGTAGACATAAAAGCAAGTTCCTCCTTTCGAATTTCGATACGGGTGATTAGGCAGCCATTTTTAGGTTTTTGTTTTTGTTTTGTTTTGACGACGGAGCACATTCCACTGTAACTTTATATTTTAACGGTTTTTTTTGTTTCTTGTTTTGTATTACATGGCTGATGATTGCCTTTAGGCATGAAACTATTAGTACCAAAAAAAAGTTGTTTTCTTTATTTTTATAAATTAATATATATATATATATATATATATATATATATATATATATATATATATATATATATATATATATATATATATATATATATATATATATATATATATATATATATATATATATATATACATATATTAGATCTAGTTGGTTGTTTGATTTACTTACTTCAATCTTTATAAAACTGTATGCAATTGCAGCTTCATTTAAAATGTTTGGTTTGGGAATCATTTTCATCTAACTTCGCAACATGCTTTCTAAACTGTTAGATAAAAATGCAACCGCAGGTCTGTCTGTTTGAAATAGAACTAAAAATCCTTTCAATTTTTTAGCACGTTCTTTAAAAAACTGCATACAAAATTGTGAAGATGATGATCTACCAGAACTTCATAGATCTTATTTTCAGGACGTCTGCTTTTGCATAGTGATTCCCAATATTTTATAACTTTAACCATGTTTGGCCATAAAATAATGCCTCTCTTCATCTTCTACCCAGAAAGTTGTGTAGAAACTGTGAAACAATAAAACCCAAAAATTAAAATGCTGAAATGCCCTTAACTTATATATAAATATAAAAGATAAGATAATTTATTATCATTTTTTTTTTTTTTGCTTAAATATGCATACTTATGGCAAAGCAAGCAGATCAGTTTCCCAAACTCTAATAAATTCATCTATTTTAGCTGGTGACTCTTTGAAAAGATTATACATTGCACAAATTTTTTTTTTTAACTCCCATATTTGGGAATTTATTGCTGTCTGTAGAGCACCATGATCAATGTGCAAACTGCAACTGCCCATATTAACTATACCATAATATCATTTTTCCTGTCTATGTTTATCTAATATTTTTAGAACCTCCCGATTAACATTAGGACCATCCATTGATACTTAAGCTAGTTTTCCAAGATCTTTGTTGCTTCAATGAGTTTGTCAAATAAATTCTGTGAATTAGGGCGTCTGAGGAACTAAGAATCAATATATCTAGCTTTTACAACACCAGAATTTGAACCCCAGTATCTAACACCACAGTCCATTTGTTCATTTTTAAAGATTACATTCATACTCTCATCATATGACAAAACAAAGATGAGTGATGCTCTGATTGCAGATATAAGTTGCTCTCGATAGTATGGTACTAAACCAAAATTTATGAGGTAGCCACATTTTGTTTTGCTTAATGCAAACTTTGATGCTATTGTACTATCAGAGAACAGATTTAAATATTTCATTTAAATTTAAGCACAATCTTAACGAAAAATGTGACATTACAACATTCAAGTTCCTTATTATTTCAGCCTTAGTAACCAGAGCTGGAGATTGAAGATCCTCTATAGTAGGTTGTGCCAGTTTGTCATTTAAAACATTTTTTTGAATTAGGAAAATGTTCTTGTAAGTTAACAAAAGCAGTTATTGCCAGATATTTCTGTAGTAAAATCTAGGAACGAAATGCGTAAAAAAAAATTAATATCCGGTAAAGTGCACAGCTAATCAATTTGCTCCAAGCATTCCGAAATTCAAAAACATTTTCAAAAAAAAAAGTAAAAAATCAAATCAAATAACTAAAAAACTACCAGTAAAGAACATATCAGCCCCATTATGTGTTCTTGCGTGCTCTTTATGCTTTTTACCAATTGCACAAGAATTTAATGCAGATATTCCCATGTTAGAAATATTAATATTTTTTGACACCAATTACATCTTGCTTTCTTTGAAAAACATAATTTTACCCAAGAAGAATACTTTTTATTGTAAAACCATTCTGTTTGGAAACGACAGCTCTGACTTGGGCGTTATGTTAGTTATATCATATATTAATTGTTATATATATTACTTGTACATTCTATTTTCTAAATATATAGTAGAATTAATAATACAGATAGTAAAATTAATAAAAATATTTTCTTCATACCAGAAAATACATAATTAAACGAAAAGTTTTGTAAAAGATGAAAACAAGAAAACGGAATATTGAACTCTATAAAAAAAAGTTCCAGGGTTTCCAGGATTTTTTGTAAAAAGGGGTGTTTTTCCAAGACTTTTCCAGGATCTATAAAATTCCAGGACTTTTCCAGGATTTCGAGGATTTCAAGGACCGCTGGCCACCCTGATTATGAAGATGAATTGAAATAAAATAGTTGTTGTCATTGTAATACATTATTACAATAATTGTAAATCACAGGTATTGTTATTGTTTTAAAAAAAGTTTATACAATAATAATAGTGATTGTGATTGTTATTCATTTTATTACAATTAAAATTAAAATCTGAACCCTAAATATAAATGAATTCAATATGTTACCTAACAACTTGCTTAATAGAATATTAATTTGTTAATTTTAATTTAATTAAATAATTAAATAATAATTGTTAATAAGATTCCTACTGGATGCTGTTTGAGTTAATTCAAATGTATAATATTTAAAATCAAAAAATCAAAATCAAAAATATAATATTTAAAAATTAAATGTTTATAAATAACAAATTACCATCAGATACGCCAACATTTTCTTTAACAGAAGTGCAATATAAATTTACTCGTAAACTTTTTGCCAAATTTTCTGCATCTTCTCTATTGTTAATTTAAACAGGTTTAATACAATTATGTTTTCATTTATATATATATATATATATATATATATATATATATATATATATATATATATATATATATATATATATATATATATATATATATATATATATATATATATATATATATATATATTTATTATCGGTTTGCTCATTAAAAACATTGACCACAACTAATACTAGCATAATTTATATATATATATATATATATATATATATATATATATATATATATATTATATATATATATATATATATATATATATATATATATATATATATATATATATATATATATATATATATATACATATATATATATATATATATATATACATATATATATATATATATATATATATATATATATATATATATATATATATATATATATATATATATATATATATATATATATAAACATCAAAATGAATTTGAAACAAAAAGTAATATATATATGATATGATATATATATATATATATATATATATATATATATATATATATATATATATATATATATATATATATATATATTAAATACAATATATATATATATTAAATACAATATATATTAAAAACATACTAAATAAAATTTTGAAGTATTAAAAATATACTAAAATTTTCTAGTATTTTTATTTAAACCTAGCTAAAAAATAATAAAAATATATATATAAATAAACTATAAAAGCAAGCCTCCTAAACTGTGCCAGTTGAATTTTGACTTTTACAAACTCTGAGCTTTTTGAAAATCATTTTTTTAAAAATATATAGCAGGGCTTGAATTAAGCGAATAGTGATCGCGAGTTGCAATTGTTTTTTTAAAAAAAAAAAATAATTTTACAATTGGTTTTTTTTTTTGTTGATTTTTTTTTTCTAATATAGTATTTTATATATATATATATATATATATATATATATATATATATATATATATATATATATATATATATATATATATATATATATATATATATATATATATATATATATATATTCTCTTCTATGCTAATAGAAACTTTTTTGCTTCAACGCTTTAACAACCTTGAACCTTTTTAAAGTTTTCTCTTTGATTTACTGAATGGATAAAGTACATCACAGTAAATTAACTAATCAAGCTAAATCAAAACAACGAGTAACTTACAGTTACTTGAATATTAACTTATCATATTATATTAAATTATATTAATTTACTTAATATACTCAAAGACTCCCAAAAGTTATCCATACAAATTTTTTTTGACATTTGTATGGATAAATTAATAATGTAATTTGACAATCAATAATGCAACAATTTGCCACCCTATTCCTTTTTTATATTTTTGACAATCAAATTTCCAACAATAAAAATTTTGCGATGCCATTCCGCCACACCATTTAATAATTTCCATTAAATGTAATGCTTACACTGTCTCACAATACTTAGAGTTACTGTAAGAGTTAATTGTAATAGAATTCTTTTAATACATTCTTTTTTGTTGAAACAAAAAAGAATGTATGTAAAAACAAAACATTAATAGATTCTTTTTTGTTGAAACAAATAAGAATGTAGTAGTGTTTTAAGTAAAATTTTTGCATTCTTCGCTTTAATTGTAGCCCTTCTCTTTTCCAGTAACATCAAAAACTTATTTTATTCTAACTAATTTTGCATGCGCAATCAAATGAAACTCCATTAAAATGAAAATGGAATTCCGCTCAAAATTTCCCTTCGGAAAAGTTTTAATCTAAAAATCAATCAAACGGAAGCAAAAAAAATTTGATTAATTTGGTAACAATTTAATTTGAAAAATAATATTTTTCAAATATATTTCAAATATACCTAATAGTTCTGTTGTTTTATTGTTTCAAATTGTTAGCTTTTATTTAATTTTTAAACAGTTTTGTTAACATTTTTAAACTCACTTGTCGTTTAATTTAAATTTACATACAAGATTTAATTACCTCAAATGCCAAAAAGATGTTATGAAAGCGGCACACAAAAAAAAGCAAAACAGATCCGGAAAGTAGCTGAATTAAATAGCCTTGCTGGATCATTAGATAAATTTTTTAAATGAGACAAAAGTTCGCCAATTTTGAACACTACTTTAATCGAAATATGCAAGTTAAAAGGTAAATCTCAATTTGAAAACAATAATGTTGAAGAAAATATGAATGAGCCACAACTTCAAAACATCGATAACCAGAACAAGAATGTAGATAGTGAATCAGGATCCAATAGCGTCAATATTGAGGATATTATATCTAGCAAGACTTCAGAAATTAATGATAATTTACAAACAGAGAGTGGCACTTAACCAAAATGCAATTATGATAAATTAGATCCTGCAGCATGGCCTGTTGAAATTGATTACAAACAACGAATGTTTTTGGTAGAGCAGTCATCAAAAAGTAATAAAGATATCCATTATAAAAGAAATTCTCAAGGAAGATGTTTCAGTGACACTTTTTTTAATGACAAATAAAAATTGGTGAAAAAGAATTAGGAAATTGACTTTTAAATTCTAACTCGACAGGAAAGAGTTTCTGCTTCTGTTGTTGTTTATTTTCATCGATAAAGATAAGCTTAATTTCAAGTGGATTTTCCTATTATGCCCATACAATAATACAGTTATCTGAACATGAATCTTTAATGAAATATCTTGAATCAGCGTATAAATGAAAATTCCAAGAATTTAACATTAAACACAGAATAGGAATAGATCATCTTAATGAAGATGTGTTCAATTAAGACAAACACAGATGGCAAACAACTTTCAAATGTATTATAAAAGTGGTATTGCTTTTAAGTGAACAAAATTTAGCTTTTAGCAGCAATGAAAAACTCTTTGAACCAAATAGTAGTAATTTTTAGGAGTAACTGAATTACTTGCTGGTTTTGTTCCAGAACTCAAAATACATTTAAAATCAATTACTAATACAGAAAAAAGAGCTACATTATACTTTTCTATGAAAAGTCAAGTCCAAATTATTTTACAACTAGCTTCTAGAGTTTTACATACAATAGTAAGTAATATTAAAATATTTTTCGATAATGATAGATTCTACGCCAGATTTTCGCAAAAAAGACCAGCTGTCCATCATTATTCGGTATGTTAAAATAGCGGACCAAAAGCCAAGTGTTCAAGACAGTTTCTTAAACTTTGTAAATATGTCATCAACCAGAGAAAATTTAGCAAACATTCATATTGAGAAATTCGAAATATTAGGAATCAAGATTGTTAATTGCCAAGGTCAGTCGTATGACAACACAAGCATTATGATAGGAGAATATAAGGGAGTGAAAAGTCGAATTTTAGAAGTCAACAACAAAGCATGGTATATGTGCCGTGTGGTAGACATAACATCAATTTAGTTATAAATGATAGTGTTAAAAACACTAATAAAAGTCAGAACTATTTAACTATTAAACAATTTATATAAGATTTCTGCTGCATCAACTAAGCGATAGGCTATTCAAGTAAAATATTTAAAAATTAATCTGAATGCGCCAAGCAATACTCGATGGGGATATTGCTTTAAAAGTATAAAAGCCTTGAAATACCAGATAAAAGAAATTATTCTTGGGCTAGATAAACTTAAAAATAGCCATCCAGATTGTAAAACTCATGCTGCATTTTCAATAAAACAAATAAAATCTTATGAATTTATTGTGCTTATTTATTATTATTAATTATGAATTTGGTATCAATTATTACAAAAGCTTCACATTTTCAGCCATTATCTCTTGATGATTTTCTAAACAATTTTGAACAAATTTGAAAAACAAAGTCTTCTTGTGATACTCAAATATTAAGTAGAAACAAAGATTTTCTTGATAAATTGCCAGAATCTAGTTTAGTCAAAATGAAGAGTATGTAATCTCAAGAGATTGGCATACTATTGTTATTACACAGACCATAAAAATAAAGCAAATGAGAAATATTATGATATTGATATACCAAATGAAGAAATTGAACCAATATAGACAAATAGACGATGATTGATCCAATTGAATGCTGTGATGATATTAATATACATGATCTTGTTTCTGAAATTGATAATGAGTATAACTATCTAACTCAAATAGCTGAAAATAAGTTTATTTTAATAAACTAATTGATAAAGTAAAGTAAAAGATTCATTGATAAAGTAAAAGATTCATTGCAAGAAGGATTTACATCATATACTTTTTTAAATCAATTTTTTGGTTTTCTTTTTCGATAATAAAAAGCTAAAAACTATGAATACAAATGAATTCAATACTAGTTGTTCAAATCTGGTCAAACACTTAGAAAATGATGTTGAAGAGGAGGAATTCAAAAAAGTACTTTCTATTTTAAGATATATTTTAGAAGATAATTATACTATTATAGAGAATTTGGAATTCATTTTAGAAAAGAATTTGGAAGAATTATATCCATATGTATGTATCATGTATATCGAATAATTTTAACAATACCCATTACCATTGCTTATTGTGAACAATCATTTTCAAAACTAATTCAAAATTAAATTGCAAATTATCTGCGTTCTACAATGTCACAGGAAAGACTTGGATGATTTACAAAACTGTTGATAGAAAATGCAACCGCAAAAGGGCCAGGAAAATTGATATATAATTTCTTTGTTTAACTTTTATTTTCAGAAATAAAAACCAATGAAAATGAATTCAATAAAGTTAAAAAAAAACTTTTAAATGGGTTTAAAAAGTTGCAGCACAGGGCCCCAAAAAGTAACAGCACGATTCTGGCTTTATTCACTGATTATACTAGTATATATTACAGTCTTAAATAATGTTTTTTTTTATGGTTTATAGGTTTTAGCATCCATTAATCTATCAGTATAGAGTTACTGAACAGTGATTACTGGTTAAGTAATTGCCTTCTAAAACAATTCAAAAATCTTAAAAGAAGAATATAAACTGAAAATAATTGAGTATTTGAAAAGTAAACACATTAAGTAGATTTGAGATATAAGAAATAAACAGATTTATAGAGAAAAACGAATGATAACACAAATGTATGCAATGGTAAAAATACAATGGTAAAGAGACAAATATAAGATGCAAATAGTATCAATGTATTTACATTTTTATTTGAAAAAAAATTCAATTGACCTACTGTCGCACCACTGCACTTTCTATCAAATCCATTTTATTTTGTACCAAAACCATTGGGATGTTTGCACCACACTCAACTACAACCTTAATTACAAATTTAACAAAATAAACTAATTATATTAATAAGTTCTAAAGCAGATAAAAAAAACAAAATTAAAAAAAAAAAACCTTTTCTTTCCAGCGAACAATTGCAGCATATGATGCATAATCAACAACGGAGAAAGTTAAGACACATGCTTGTGCTCCTAAATTTATTGTTTATTTTTAATTTATTGTTTGCAATAGCAATCTTATAACTTTACTTTGTTTACCTCTGTAATAAGCCTTGGTTATTGCATCAAACTCTTCTTGTCCTGCAGTATCCCATAACATTAAACGAACATCTTCACCATTAACACTTCAGTAAAGAATTAAAAATAACCACCATTAACCACTTCAGTAAAGAATTAAAAATATTTTTTTAATCTATATTTTTTTATGAAACAAAATGCAGTACAAAAGTTAATTCAAATTATTCTTGCACTACGCTATTGTGTATAAAAAGCCATAAAAATCCATAAAAATCTTATTTTGATACCATTTAAAGGAGTTAGAGAAGAAAAATACTAAAAAAACAATTCATACTTAATTAAATTTAAACCTACTTTTTCAAACTTATTTACTTAATAAAAATTAAAACCATATTAAAAAACCTACTTTAAAGTAAAAATAACTATCAAACCTGATCATTTTTTCCAAAAAATCAACACCAATCGTTTTCTTGTATTCTTTACTAAAATAGCCTTTACAATATCTTTGAATCATGCTAGACTTCCCAACAGCTCCATTTCCAACTACTACAACTTTGATGGATATTTCTAAATCTTCTTCCCTCATTTTACATAAATACCATAGACTTTTTGTAATTTTTGTTTCACCATTTACTTTAAATTACTATCCTTTTTTATTAGTCATTCTAATAGCGTTTAAAAAATATTTAAAAATTAAATTTATAAATTTAACTATTCTAATAGTGTTAAATAATCAATTAACATTTACATGGTTTATAATATTTCAATGTACGAATGTAAGGCTATTTACCAAATAATTATGTAAGTAATTTAAATAGTTGTATAAAGATTTAAAGTAACTTAAACTTCAATTTTAACGTTAGGGTAAGCCTTACATTAAAACACGTTTTATTAACGGTTACCATTAATACTAGTAACCACGCGTGGGTATAAGTTAAGATATAAACTTTAATTTAAATATTTAAATTTGATTTTTAAAATTTTGCTTTATTTATTATAAAGTACAACAGAAATATATCTATTGTTTAATTCAATAAAATTACGGGATTTTGATAAAGATTACCCAAATGTAAACAAAGACGAGACTCCACATGCACATGGATGCACGGCATTATTGTTACTCATTACAAACATTACACGCTTTTTTTTTTGTTTCTTTTCTTTTCTTTGTTTTTTTTTTGTTTGTTCTTTTGTTTTTTTCTATTTATAAAAAACTCATTCTAATGATAGTTTGAGGAATTATATTTCCCAACTCTTCACCTACATCTATATTTTTACATACAACAACATAACACAGTTTTTTTCGTAATTGCTAATCTGAACAGGATTAACCAATTATCTACAACCGTTTGAATAAGTATTGCTACGCATTTGAATGGAAGGAAAGAGTATTAAATAAAGTAAAACACCAAATCCAATCCTTCAAAGTGTAATCTAAATTTTACTGACCGATGCAATCTCCAAAGGAAAAATAGTTGTACTTTAAAATAAAAGAACTCTTAGATTTTTAATAACATTTAATAACATTTGTATTTAGTATTTATTATTAACAATGTAATTATTAATAATATTTTCGATTAATATTAATTTGATAACATTTATATGACATTGTAAATACCGTAATCGGGTCTAGAATTTTTAAAAACTGTTCAAACAGCACTTTGACGTATTGGATTTAACGTTTTCCTTAAATCAATCAAACGGAAAAAAAATATTCTTCAAATTAGGAAATTCTTAAAAACATTTTAGTAATAGATTCGGATAATAAAAACCTTATTTAGATAAAGAACTTCCTCGTGCTGCGCTTGCTAACCAGTGTGCTTGTTTTTTTTTTCGAAAAAAGTATAAAAACAATAAGTATACGATTTTGACAGGTTAATTTAAAAGTAAAATGCTTAGCTATATAATTAGGACTAAGGCCGGCCCAAAGGGATGGGACATCCCCCCCTCCTTCAAGTCAGTCACCAAATTTAGGCAGTCAGTCGGAAAATTTCGAAAAACAAGGTTTTTTTCTTTTTTAGTCGGCAAAAATTGTAAGTGCAACTCTCCCCTTCCCCCTTCCCCTCCAAACACACACACACGTGCGGCACTGATTAGAACACTTAATGAAAACAATATTTTCAAACAAATTTTGAGTTGGGTTTCTTATCGAACAAAAATTATGTAGATTAACTTCTACTCTTTAGTATCCTTGCTAAGGAGTTATGGAAGACAATATACTTAAAGATTATATGAAGATTGAGTAAAGAGTTTTGAAATTTAGTTGAGTTGAGTTAAACTTTTGTGCAAAAGAAAGCTAAAAATATTCCAAAAAAAAAAGACAAGATTTGTTTACTTATATAAAGTTTTAAAATATACAGCTTTAAAAAAGCTTTTGGTTTAGTTGGTTTACAAATGTTTCCGAATAAAAAAAAAAAATTTTAATAAAAAACAAAAAAGAAGAAAAAAAAAGTATGAAAATTGTAGATATATAAACAAAAAAAATTTGTTTTTTAATATATTTAAATTAAATTAATACATACAATACCTTTATAAATTAAAAAACTTTGATACTATCATGTTAAAACCTTAAACAGCCGTGGAAAATTCTGGCTCAGAACCCAGAGGTCCGAGGTTCGACGCCGGCTCTATCCCAACAAGCGACATTGGTACGGAAGGAGGCGTACACTTCTAGTTAAATGCTCTCTCGCGGTACTCCGTGATAAGACCGTAACGACTTCTGGGAGCACCTAAATAACTACAGAATAAAGTTATATCAAAGTGTTAATGTTCTATGAAGTCGCGTTTTTGGCCTTTAATGATTAAATAAACATTCATACAGAAAAGTTGTACATTCAGTCAGTACCACCTTAAGCCTTCTTGCTGCCCTCGTGCAAATATTTTCCAGCCGCCTCAGACAGTTATAAATTTGCTGGTAAATTACATGAAAATTAATAACAAATTAAATTCAAAATTAATATTTGCAATGAAATGTTTAATTTACAAACATCTTTAAAAAGAGCGTTTTATTTACATAAATCTATTTTTTAATTTAAAATTACAACACATTGGCATTAAATAATTTGTACAAATATGCTCATTATATAAAGTCATAAAAACATTTAAAAATGTAAAAAAAATCTTCGCTATATTTTTAATTTATTAAAAAGTTAACCTACGCAAACCACAAAATCAAAACTTTTTTACGCAAATATTTCTAATAAAAACTTAACAACAAAAGCAATTCTTATGATTCAACCTAAACAAAAATGTAAATTTAACATTGTTTAATAGTAAATTATAATAAAACAGTTGGAGGCTTGTTGCATTACATTATTGATTAAGAAAATTATATATATGATAATTAAGTAGTAATTTATGTATGCATGCAGTGGTATCATCCAAGTTAAAGGAGATAAAAAGTACTGTTTTTAAAAGAAGTTCAAAACTGTTCATTTTGAATGAACAGTTTTGAACTTCTTTTAAAAATTCATTTTGAATGAACAGTTTTGAACTTCTTTTAAAAACAGTACTTTTTATCTCCTTTAACTTGGATGATACCACTGCATGCATACATAAATTACTACTTAATTATCATATATATAATTTTCTTAATCAATAATGATCTTACTATGGATTATTTTTATTAACAGAAAATATTGGAAATCGTAGTATATAATATATAAAATAAATGCTTGTGATAAAATATATATTAAATGTATCAAACTACTTTTCATAATCGACATAACTGTTAATATAATATTTTTTTTGAAAAATAAATTTAGAACAAATAAAATTAAAAACAAATTAAAGAAATAAATTATGCTAGTTTACATTATTTTACTAAAAAAGAAAAAGAAAATTTAGCTTTAATGTATATTTTGAGAATACAGTTGTAATATGAGAACCTAATAGGGTATTTATGGTTAATTTCGCTAAAATAGGATTGAAATATGGGTGAAGATATTTCATATTTTATTTTGTACATAAACTGTAAAACAAGATGCAATTTAATTTTGTATATATTCAACGCTCTAAGTTTGCATAAGAGAGGTTCACAAGATACTTTTTTACTTTCTCCGACATTTCTACAGGCATGTTTTTGTTTTCTGTAGAGTTTTTTAGGCCTAATATAATTTGTGCTTGCAAGCACAAATTATGGCAACATGGCCTGGGCATGCAAATTTTTATTCAATACCACACTTAAAAAAGTTTATAAAAGCCTCTCTTTTTATATAAGTATTGTTTATTTTTAGATCAGGTAGTTTAAGAGGAATATTTTTGTTTTTGTCTGGTTTATGAAAAAAAATGAACTTAATTTGAAATTAGTTAATTTTATGTAATTCTTTGTTAACTATGTTAAAAAGTGTCATAATGGATCTATGTAAATAAAACATGTTGGAGTCATCCGCAAATAAGATTAAGTTAAATAAGTTTGATGTTAAATATAAATCAATTATGTAGAGTAAAAATAATAACGGTTTTAAGATCGAGCCTTGAGGAACCTCGCAAGTTATGGTGTTCCTGTTATTTTTGTTGTTTTACATTGAATGTATTTTTTTCCTGTTTGATAAATAATATTTCAGCCAAAGTAAGTTGTTATTTTTTACTCCATACACTTCGAGTTTTTTTAAAAGAATATTGTGATTTACGGTGTTTAAGGCTTTAGAAAGTCAATAAAAACTTCTTACGTAAAGCAATAATTACTAAAAGCAACAGATATGTTACTCTCTCAATTGTAGCACAGTTCGTTAAGTGTTTATTTTTAAATCTATAATGTTTACTGTATAAAAAATCCGTCAAATAACTGTATAGTCTACTATACATGACGCGTTGTAGTAATTTGGATAAACATGGTAAAACGGATATAGGTCTATAATTAATAGTATCAAAATCATCTCCAGACAGTGGCGGAACTACTGGACGCAGGACCCTGCGTTGCGGGGGGGGCCTACCAGCTATAGGGAGCCCTCATATAAAAAAAGTTATACTCTCAATAATATTTATACTATAAAACTCTTTTCCGCAAAAAAAACATTCTTTTGCGGGGGGGGCCCAAATTTTGAAGTTCCGCCACTGTCTCCAGATTTATAAACAGGGATGACTTGGGCAATTTTGAGATTATCTGGGACATTACCTGATTATAATGAAAGATCGAAGATGCGATGCAAAGATGGTTCTATGATATCAAGTACTGATACTTTTACGGCAAAGCTACTGATATTATCAAAGCCCGCACTTTTATTGTTTTTAAGAGATTTTTTTTTTAATTAATTTAAAGCGGATTGCTATTCATTAAAATCTAAATTTTTATTTCATAATCTTTTCTAAGGTTAGGTTCTTATTCAAGTAAAAATTAAATATTTCAGAACTTGACGGAATTTCAGCTGCTAATTTGTGACCCACATTAAGAAAGAAGATATTTAGATATTCAGCTATTGTTATCTTAACACTGACTTACATACAATTAATCAAAAGCTTTTTTGGTAGATTGCTTTTAGTACATTTATTATTACTCAATAATCGTATTCCATGTTTTTTAGCATTTCCATAGCTTTTTTTTAACAAATTCGAATAATACAGCTTTTTTGAGTATAATTTTGTTTTTTTAAACAAGTATATATAATTTTTGTAAGTTATCTCATTAAAAATTTTTTTTTTATAACAACATTATTTTTATAACAACATTTTTAACTGGAAACGCTTTTCATAATTTTTACAAAAATGACCTAGAAACAGTTCGTAGGCAATAATCACATATTAGCTGTAGAATTGTTGTTATGTAGTAGCTAGCAACAAAGAAACAACTATTGATATTGTATAAGTTTGTAACTATTGATATATAGCCATTAACAAGCTTAAGATTTGGCTTTATGTTGTAGTTAGCTACATACCTACGATCTGTAGCTAACGATAAATCATAGTGTTATAAATAGCTACAATACTGCCATATATAGATAGCATCATATCGTAATAAAATTGTAATCATAAATATATTAGATTCAATTCTAAATATCGATAATTTTTAAAACTTTTAAGACAAAATGAAACAATGTGAGAAAATAAAAATTACTATAAAATGCGAGAAATTAAAAATAGCTATAGAGCTACTTGATAGCTTATTTCCCAGCGCTCCAACTCTGTTTAGACTTTCAAAATATGTGTACTGATATCGGAGTGGACCTTGACATGGTTGCCAGATTGGCTATTAAAGAATGCATTAAAAGAATTTTTTATTTATTTAACTAGTTAACTTGTTTTTATATTTCATTTTATTTTTATAACTACGACTGTATTTACGGTATGTTGACATTATCTAAAAAATCATTAGTACAATTTTATCCGGTAGTCTTATCTAAGCCAATAAGATTTACATTTTCAAAATTTAAACCAATACAATCGGGGAGAATTTGGGTACTTTTTTGCCATATCTGAGTACTTTATTATATATTTCTGGCTACCGCATTTCGCAAAATATCCGGCAACCCTTCACCTTGGTTAGCATAGTAAAAACCCATGTGCAATCAATAAAAATGGAAAGCTGAATAAGCGCGAGCAGGCATAAATGCGGAGCGTTGCAAAAACTGGAAGAAGTGCGAACTGGCATATGTGCGAGTTGGCATAAGTGCGCCAAAAGATTTTGCAAACATTAGCATAAGTGCGAATTGGCATAAGTGCAAAGAAGTTGCTAAAACTGGCATTAGTGCAAACTGGCCTACATGCAGATTGGCATAAGTGCGAACTTAAAAAAGTGCACCAGAAGAATTTACAATCATTAGCATAAGTCCGAACTGTCATAAATGCAAAGCAGTTACAAAAACTAGCATAAATACGAACTGGCATAAGTGCGCCAAATAAAATTGCATAAGTATAAATTGGTATTTCGCACTAATGACAATGTTTGCTAAATTTTTCGGCGCACTTATGCCAGTTTGCGCTTATGCCAATGTTTGCGGCGAATTCGCATTTATGCAAGTTCGCACTTATGACTGCTTCGAATGTTTGAAAATTCTTTTTGCGCACTTATACCAAAACGCACATATGCCAGTTCGCACTTATGCTAGTTTTTGGAACGCTTTGCCAGGTTTTGCAACACTTATGCCAGTTCGCACTTATGAAATCAGTTTATTCAGCCTTCTGTTATTTTTGTTAAAACGCAACTTTCATTCAATTAATTCGAAGTTATCCAATCAAAATTTAAATTGCATAAGTTGCACACGCAAAGGGGACGACTGAATAAGCGCGAATTTCATAAGTGCGAACTGGCATAAAGGCGAATGGCGTAAGCGCGAACTGGCATAAGCGTGAATTGGCATATGTGCGAACTGGCATAAGTGCCAAGCGTTGCAAAAACTGGCATAAGTGCAAACTGGCATATGTGCGAATTGGCATAAGTGCGCCAAAAAATTTAGCAAACATTGGCATAAATGCGAACTGGCATTAGTGCGAAGCAGTTACAAAAACTGGCATAAGTGCAAACTGGCGTAACTGCGAATTGGCATAAGTGCGCTAAATAAATTTGCAAACATTGGCATAAGTGCGAATTTATTCGGCGCACTTATGCCAAATCGCAGTTATGCCAGTTCGCACTTATGCCGATTTGCACTTATGCCAATGTTTGCAAATTTCTTTAGCGCACTCATGCCGATTCGCACTTATGCCAGTTCGCATTAGTGCCACGCTTCGCACTTATGCCAGTTCGCACATATGCCAATTCTCGCTTATGCACCTTCCCGCACGCAAAGAACACGCTGCAAAGATTTCTACTTCTTAAGTTTTTAAATATTTTAAAATATTAAAAATTGAAGTAGAAGGTCAACCAGAAAAAAATAGCAAAAACTGAATCGTTTTTTGAACTTTTCTAAAAAAATTAATTTAGAATGGTAGGTTAAACAAAAAAATATAGAATTTTGGACCACCCTTCCCCCCCCCCACCTCTTATATTCAGTCGTTCCAATAAAATATTTTATATAAATTTAATCTTACAGTTTTCTATATCTTTTTACGATGTCATAAGACTTATGACAACTTGTCAATCTTTTGATGCATTTACATGTTTATTGTTATTGTATAAGTTTTATTTATATCTATTTAAAAATAAAGAAAACAAATTAGAATGTTTTTCGGGGAATGTTTATACTATTTATACTTATCATAACTATCACACTTATCATAAGTAAACATTCCCCGAAAAACTACATTCTAATTTGTTTTCTTTATTTTTAAATAGACATAAATAAAACTTATACAATAACAAACATGTAAATGCATCAAAAGATTGACAAGTATTTTATTAACACGCGCTATATTTAGATTACAAAAATTTCTAAAACTTATATTTAATTTCGATAAGTTATAATTTATAAACATAAAATTTATATGATAAATTTTATAAAATAAATTTATGAATAATATAAACATTTATAATATAAATTTATAATATAAATTTTATATTTATATTATTTAAGTTCAGTCATAAGACAAATAACAGTCCAATAAAATTAATGGCTAATCGGTTTAAACAAAGATTACTACAAAATCATGCTTATTGGTTGTGATAAATTATGTTAGTAGTACATTACATATATGTAATGTACTACTAACATAATTTTAAACTTTAAATTTTAAATTACAGTGCAAATAGTACAGAATCAAATAGTTCAATTTAAGCCAATATAAATAACATTAGGAAGAGTTGGATGTAAATAAAATAGCATTGAGATATTGGTTTATAAGGTGAACAGAAAGTTCTTATAATCAAATATAAAAATTTTAAATACACCTTTTTAAATACATCACTTGTTTAGCTGTACTAACAATATGCTTTTCAAATATGATCTATATTTTATTAAAGGCTTTGTCAAAAACAATAATGATTAAATGTTGAAAAATAATTAGTTTTTACACTTTAGCCAAATACATTTTTTACCAAAACATAATTTTTTGCAAACTGTTTAAAAATTATAACGAATTAGATAATGAAGTTATACACAGCAGATCAATAAACAATTTTAAAAATGAACTAGAAATTTTTAGCAAAAATATTGATAAATAAGTATTGAAATAAATAACTATTGAACTAAATTGCAAACTACAAATGTTAGATTCTTTCTTAAAATTCTCAAGAAACTTTATTTATTCTTATTATTATAATTACAGTTTATATATTGTTATTATTATTTTTCCAAGTTTATAACTGAAGAGGTAAATTTGTAACAAATATACATAGAAGTATTCAAGCTTATTTATAGTTTTTTTTAAAAGATTTGAAATTTTGACATAGAAAATCATGTTTTTAAAAGAAAATATGCTGTTTTTTTATTATCCAGAATAAATAACTAAAAACTTACATAAAAATAAAAACAGTAATAATAATGATAGCAATACATAACTTTCTAAGTGTGCTGAATAATAATGATACATAACTTTCTAAGTGATAAAAATAATGATACATAACTTTCTAAGTGTGCTGAAGCTAACTTCTAATACTTTCTAATACTTAATCTGAGCTCATAAGAACATTTATATTATTAATTTTATTTTCAAAAAGTTTTGTTGGCAATACAATAAATTAATATTTTCTACAAAATGTTTTAAAATACAGTTTTCTTTTATATCTTCTAGTATCTTTCATAATGCAAGTTTTAGCAGGAAATAATTATCAAATCTTTGTTTCAAAATTACTTATTTAAAACATTAGCTTTTATGGTATTTTAACGGGTATGAAATTAAGAGTTACATAAGTTTAAAGTCGTATTTATAATTATTAAAGACCTTTAGATTACCGAAAATTAGATTTAAAAAAAAAATTTTATTGAGTTTAATCTTTAATAATATAGAGAAAAATTTTGTTTTGGCTTTTCTTTTTTTTTTTTTTATTACATTAAATGAGTTTTAAAAAAGAGGTTTTGAAATGTGACTATTAATTCAAGTTACTACAGATGAGTAAAATTAATTTAATAAAATAGTACAAATATCACTAAGCACTTAATTACTTGAAAAGATTTACCAATTTTCTGTTTTTAGTATTATTATGACTACATTCTTACTTCCTTTGGCTTCATTTCGATCATTAGTTCCACCAACTATTTTATTTGGTCTTGCACCTCATTATTTTTTAATAAATTCATCAGCTCAAATATTAAAATTGTTTCTTCCACCTACAGTCAATGAAAAAATTGACGAATTTATATATCATACATATCAGTCTCTTGTTACATACTTTTTTTCTACATTTATTGGATCAAAGGTATATTTTTTATTTTGTTATTATTATTTTTTTTTTATATATGTTTTTTTATAGTAATATTTTGTAATTTCTAAGAGGAAAAATACTTTGTTAGATTTTATTGGATAATTTTTTAATATGATGTGCAAAGCATGTATGAAAACATATTTTGCTTATGGAAGAAAAAATTAAGCTATTCTTTTGTAAGGTTGCCAGATGTACAGCTTTTATGAAAGAGAACGCAGTAAAAAAATTTTATTTTACAGGTTTGGCGCTGTATTATCCTCCATAAAAAATGAACATCTGGCAACCATATTCTTTTGTGTGTGTGTGTGTTTTTTTTTTTTAAATATTTTGTTTCTTGTTTTTAAATATTTTGATTTTTTTTGGTGTGGCGGAACAGTGTTGCAAAATTTTTATTGTCACATTTTTATTGTCGCAAATTTGATTGTCTTAAATGTGAAAAAGGAGTAGTGTCGCAAATTGTTGCATTATTGATTGTCAAATAACAGGATAAGGAATAATGTGGCAAATAAATTTAATGAATATTTTCAAAAATAAAAAGAAGGAATAATGCCGCAGAGTTCAATAAATAGTGTAGAAAACAAAAAAAAAATAAAATAGTGTCGCAAATAGTAAAATTGGAATAGTGTCGAAAACAAGAAAAAAAGAAGTAGTGTTGCAAATGAATTTAATGAATAGTGTCAAAAATAGAAAAAGAAATAATGTTCTAAAGGAGTTTAATGAATAGTAACAAAAATAAAAAAGTATTAATAACTATAAATGAGTGTTTAGATGTCAGTGTGTTAACCAGGAATCAATTTAATACAGCATTTTGACAAAATTGGGAATTTTTAAAAATATTTCCCAATCACCTCCTCCACCCCCACCCCCATCCCGCCACCATCTTTTCTCTGAGATAAAAATGTGTTCTGGGAATGTGTGGGGTCTTTTTGCTTATCTTCTTTTCTCTTCTACTTTGTTTCAGCGCTGCATACATTGATTGGACAGTGCTAAAAATATAATAAAAATACCATCTGTCACATTTATTGAAGATGATTGAAACACAAAATTAAACATGGCTTCACAAAAACACACCAAATTAAACTCCAATTTCAAAAGATATATCAGGAATTTTATATTTCTATATTATTTAAATCAATGCATATTAATTCTTAATAAGAATTATATAAATTTGATTTATTTTTGATCTTATATAATTGCCGCTATTATTTTAAGAGTATTCTTTTAAATATATATTTCTTTTTTACTAGTGGGCATTTGTGTAAATGGTTTTTTTTTTAATACATGTGCAAATGGTGACAAAAATAACATTTAATGCCTGCAATTTAAAATGAAAACATGATTTTCAAATCTTAAATTTTTACTATTTACCATAGTTACCTTATTTACTACAATATTACTTAAAAAATAATTAAAATAAATACCATATTAATGTCGTCCATGAAAAACATCATGCTGAGTTTAGGTAATAGCTAGAAGTAGGAGATTATTGGCTCTCATTTGCAGAGATTTTCAAAGTAAGATCTTCTACTTCTAATTATTTAATTGATAATATGTGAACCATTGTCATAAAATGTTATTATTATTATTCAAGCATTTAGATTTGCTTTTACGTTTTTAATTCAAGCAAGTGGTGAGTTTAGTTTTCTTGTTTTTTGAAATATCTAGCATCAGTTTATTGTAATAAAAAAAACTTTCTTTTTACTAGAATTATTATTATACTTTAATTTATGATTTGGCAAACTTTTTTTGGAGAATGTGATTTTTTAAAATTTAAATTGGGAATTTTAATTTTATGAGCATTTGGGAATACCGCATTTGATAGGACCCCACAGGGCTAGTTTACACCTTGCATGTCTGATATCATACTGAAATAGCCTGCTGCTGGGGGCTTCAGTACATACACCAAATATCTTATAGCCTGCTGCCACAAAGGAGTGCCACTACATTGACTGAGCGTTTGGAGTATGGTAGCAGTCTTTTCTTTTATTAGTTGTTGTTTTATTGTTTTTTTTGTAAAAGCTGTATGCTATAAAGATAAGCAAAATGAGTAAGAAGTTGCTGAAATGAACTATTTGCAATACTATTCCGTTTTTACTATTTGCAACACTAATCCTTTTTTTTTGTTTTTGACACTATTCATTAAATTTATTTGTGACACTTTTCTTTTTTTAATATTCAATACTGTTCATTAAATTTATTTGCAACACTATTCCTTTTTTTTGCAACATCAGGCCTTTTAAATATATTCAACATTATTATGAAGTTCATTTTTCAACACTATTCCTATCACTTTTTTTTTTCCACTTAACATTTTTATATTATGCTTTATAGCAAGTGAGACCTGTTAGCTATATATAGTAAATAAGGTATATTCAAATATAATTATAATTATAAATAAGCCAAGGCTTACTTATAATTGAGGCTTAATTGCTCCTTAGGTTTACTACCCTTAAAGCACATTGAGTTGTCTGTAAGGGTAGAAAACCTAAGGAGTAGCTAGTAAACCTTAAGGTTTACTAACTGCTCCTACCTTTGTAATACTAGTAGTTTTATTACAATAAAATAACTCCTGATCCAAAACAGGTTAACACCAGGAAACACCTTTATCCTGGTATTGATGTTTAAATTTTTGATTATTTTTAGATAATTTTTTATGGCGATTCAGTTATTGGAAATACAAAAGAAAATGTGCTTTACATTAGTAACCACCAGTCTGCCAGTAAGTTATACACAAAGTTATTTAATTCAACTTGTTTCTCTGCTTTTTTTCTTGAAATTAATGGATTAAGTAAAGGGTATAACAATTAAGAAAAAATAATATAATAATAAATTTATATTATTTACCATAACAAATGTTAAAACATTTGTTTATGGTACTTAAACTTATCCTTATAATTTTTTTTGTGTATAATATACCCCCTATATCATTTTTAAATTATCTTAAATAAAATTCGTTACATTGCGTGCAAAATGTGTGCAACTTAGGTAACTGATGTAACATTTAATGTTTGTAATGTTATGTGCAAAATGACTGTTATTTTGTTTTGTAATGTTGTTATGTAGCATATTACACAACAATCGTAACATTTTGACCTAAAGAGACATAATATTTTAATCTATGGTATCTTTTTTTTTTTATTACTTAAAAAATGAATAAAATAAATACCATAATTAACGTCGTCCATGAAGAACATCATGCTGAGTTTAGGTAATAGCTAGAAGTAAGAGATTATTAATCTATGGCATCTTTCTAATTTTTTTGTTTTGTTTTAATATCTTCACTTCCAACGAGACTGCAAGCAACCAATATTAGAGTTGGAAGTAACTGGAAGAGAAAAGATAAAATTTATAGAGCAAGATAATTGTTAACAGACAACTTAAAATATTGCAAATTAAATGAATCAGGAAAACAAGATGAAGGAAGCAAATTCAAAATAATAGATGTTGAAGGAAAAAAACTAGATGAATAAATTTAAGAATAAACAAGGAAAACTGTAGTATTGTGCTTTTTTGTATAAGTAAATAAAACAAAAAAAACATAAACGCAACCACCCGATATTTAAAATTCTTTCCATTAATTTTTGGTTTTGTGTTTTTTCTTTTAGACAAATCTTGCGATGGCTTTGAAACCTACTTCCCAATATCTTTTTTAATCTGAAATTATGATCAGACAGTTTTTAATAATGACAATTCATTCCACTAAATTTTGGGGGCTCAGACAGTAAGATATACAAGGTTACATCAAGGTGAAAATAGAAAAAATTGATACACCTTTACAACTTAATACTTTAAACATAGAACATAATAAAATTAAAATACAAAATTCTAAAAAATTTGAATTGATAACTTTCTAAATTGAGCATAAATTAAAAATTTTAATTTAATGATTACTTTTAGATTTGACAGAAATATAATTCAACATACTTTTATAGTCATAATTATAAAAATGTATAACCTAACATTTAGTTATTTAATATCTGCATAAACTGTAAAAATCTCATGAATATTTTGACAATATTTAATTTTTTTAATGTAGGTAATTCTGGTTTTACTTAAATGTTTTTTTTCAATTTTGCTAAGGTGTAATGTTTATTTATAAAATTTTCATTACCAAGATATTGCTATTATTTTTCAATATATATATTGATGAACATAATTTTCAATGTCTTATTTATATTGAGCTCATTTTAAATGTACATTATTGAATTAAAATGGTTTCGGTTACAATGTTGATTTGAAAGATTGGTTACAAACCAATGTTTCAAATCAACCTTCAACATCAAGCATTAAAAACTGAAGAGAAATCAGCAACTAAATATTCAGTCTTCCTGATGTTTTATCAAAGAATAAGTTGCCTACAAGCAATCAAGTAGTCAGATATTTTGTAAAATTCAAAAAAGAGCCAAATGTACAGAATGCAACAGTTATTGATATAGTTAGAAACTATATTTTTGAACTATTGAACAGTACATCTATTCCTTTATTTTTCATTTTTATAAAATTAGATTTAATACTGGCTCACCATCATAATAAACCAATGGGTAAGTTTAAGCCAATTAAAACCAAGCACACTACTACAGTAAAGAACGTACATGTAATGCACATTGATAAAGTCAATGTTAAAGTTTTTTAGGAATGTTAGAGAATTGATTAAAAGAAAGCTTGCTTTAAATAACAAAGAAATTGCTGAAAAGCGATTTCTTAGATTTCATAGTATTCATAGATTTACTATTAATTTCTTAGTATTCATAGATTTACATAGCTATGTTTTTTAATATATATATATATTTTTTAATGAAATATACTATTTATTTAATTCAGCTCATTTTTTTGAATGGAAATGAGTACTTGAACTCAATTGATTAAGTGATTGAAGTTCAATTGATTAAGTGATTAAGTAATTAAATAACAAAAGCCAACAATGCAGATGAATTTATTAATAATTATGTGATTTTAATAATTTTATTAATAATTATGTGATCATGCAACTCAGAGCAGCAGTTAAATAACAAGTTCCGAGATGATGTATATTTTGAAAAGGCCAAGTAAGGCAGGCAAATCACATTCAGCAGTTTAAGTTCAGACACTAGTAAACAAATGAGTAAACAAATCTAGCAAGAGAGGTTGAAAGGTAAGATGTTTCAAATAGTGATATATAAAATAAGAAAATGTAACTGAAAATCTTATCAGAATGAAACCTGGACTTACAAATCACAGTAGTTAGTTAACTCTCTAATTGAATTTGTCGACGTTTTGAATCCCTAATTAAACAAAAAACTCAAGTTAATAATTCTGTTCATCAAACTTCACTACCGATTAAGCAGGCATTGGTAAAACATTTTTTTGTGTTTGAGATTGTTAACTTTCAGATATAGATTAAATTCTAAACAATAAATGTTTATACTTATGTCAAATAAGCATGTTATATACACATATATATATACATATATATACACACACACATATATATATATATATTTAGTATATATATATATATATATATATATATATATATATATATATATATATATATATATATATATATATATTTAGTATATATATATATATATATATACTAAATATATATATATATATATACTAAATATATATATACTAAATATATATATACTAAATATATATATATATATATATATATATATACTAAATATATATATATATATATATATATATATATATATATATATATACATATATATATATACTTATATACACACACACATATATGGTTTACACTTGGATTTTGGTTGGTCGTCTTGTGGGCGACTGACAGTAATAGTTTAGCTAATCTTTGCGTCACATTTTATGTAAGTAAATTTTAAATGAATGGGTTTAACAACTTTTAAAAAAAGTTTTTTTTTAAAACATTTGAAGTAGCATTTTAAGCATCTTCTTATCTTCATTGCACACTCACTCTTGTAAAGGGAGAAGGAAAAGTTTTTTTTGTAATTAAACTTTGAATGAACGATTATAGAGATTATAACAAAATTTTATTTGTATATTAAAATTTTTACTATATTGTTTAAACAAAAGGTTTTCAACAAGCCTTTTAACAAAACTAAATTCAAAAAATTTATTATTAAATTAAAAGTGTTTCATAAATAAATGTTTTAACATAAAAATTTTTATAATTTAATTTCTTAAAAATGTTTGCTAATTATTAGCAGTTATGACTTCAAAACTTTCATTTGTTCTTTATAAAAAGCGAAAACTGGGATTCTATTTTAAACAAAATGGCATAAGTTAATAGTAATAAAGGAAAACTTCAACGATCAGAATTGTTGCTTTATTATTACGTTAGATTAAAAAGTAATTATTAAAAGCTATTTTGCTTTTTTTTATTAAGCAAAAAAATCAATTTAAATAATAAAAATTTCAATTTAAGTCATAATATTTAAACTTAATAAATAATGATATATATATATATATATATATATATATATATATATATATATATATATATATATATATATATATATATATATATATATATATTAATAATATAAATAATAATAAATAATGATATATATATATATATATATATATATATATATATATATATATATATATATATATATATATATATATATATATATATATATATATATATATATAATTGCAAATGGTCGCAAATTCCTTATAAATTATGCATACTTTCAAAAGTTGATATTAAACTGGCAACAACAATAAAGAAAATGTTCTGCAAATATAATTTTTTGTGCTTGCTAAAAACAAATCGAAAGGTTTTGTTGTCCAATTTAAGCTAACTGTAAAAACTTATTTAAATTGCAATCAGACTTTTCTTTTCCACATATTTATATGTGGAAAAGAAAAGTCTGTTTTTTTCCACATATTCATATGCGGAAAGAAAAGTCATATTGTTTTCATTTACATTACTTTTTCTTATAAAGTGGATATTAATCATCACCAGTGCTACTAGGTACCTGTAATGATTTGTTTAGTGTCAAGCAGCCTTTTACTGAGGAGGATCAACCATTTACTAACTTTTTCTCAGATCATTTTTAATAAGTTCTTTGTGCTATATTTATCAATAGCAACTTCTTAAATTACCTCAGAAGTGCAAGATATACCTAAGCTGGTTACTTTTGTAATCTTTAAGAATGGTTTGAAGAGTATATACTTTAAAGGTAACTATAGTTAAAACAATTTGATGTAACAGTCAACAAATATTGCATGCTATGACACAACATAGTCACAAATGAAACAAAATCACACTCAGTCAGGGTTTGTACTGTACCTGGAAAATCTGGAAATTTAGTTAATTTTTGCTAAAGTCATGGAAAACCATGAAAAGTCAGGGAATTTGTTTTTCTTCAGATAGTCCCGGAAAGTCAGGGAATTCTGATTGAGAAGTTACTCGTTTTACAATTAAGCTATTATGTTTTTATTTGGTGCTACCCATTTATTTTTTCTGAAACTTATGTTTTTCTTTGTGTTCATTCTTAGTTTTATTTGAAAAGGAGAAAGTTAGTTATTGATTTTTATTACTTAGTAGATATTGTCCATACAATTTCTAAAAGATAAAATTTATAGTGTGGGAAAATAGAAAAAAATTAAAGCTGAGAAAATACTTTTTGACTAAGTTTTTGATAGAAGCTTACACTATTTTTTAATCATCCTATAGAGGAGTAATGTCTTTATGTTTTGTGAGCTGAGACCCAAAAATGTACTTAATTTAAAAAAGATATTTGCAGATCAGGTTAAGTGCATATTGCACAAGACTTTTTGCTTGTTGCCTAAAGTATTATATATCAGCATTTATAGTTCATGGTGGTATTTTAGCGCTGAAAATACTATGTATCTAAACTTTTAAAAACTATAAAAAGTGCTATTCAGTTTTATCTTTATTTATGTAGTACATTTTGTTAACAAAATATGAGTTAAAAAAAAAAAATTAATTTATATATAATAAATGGTTAAAAAGTTGTACAGTAACACAACTAACCAATTCTTTTTTTAGTGTGTGAAATAAACATGTTTTTAAGGGAAATATTATTTAATATCAGGTGCATCCTCCTGCTATAGTAATTCAAATGTTATGCATCTGTAGGAAATTACTTTAACTACTCCTACATATCAGTAGGAAACTACTTTTTATAGACTCTAATAGGATAAATTATTTGGACCAGAGTCACACACATAACATTGAAATTTTTTATTCATATAATACTTGTTCAATTTTGTTAAAAATAGTTTTATATATATTAAAATTTTAGTATTTATTTTTTTAAATTTATATTAATAATTAATTTTTGTTTTAGTTGATTGGTCATTGGTAAATTTTATCAGCATTCATTGTGGTAGTATGGGACAAATAAGATATATACTGAAGAATTTACTAAAATACTTGCCATTTTATGGTATTTACTTTATGCAGGTAGTTTAAGTCATATTTTATACAGATTTAAACACACAACATTATAAGTAATGTTATTATTAGAACTCAAGTTTTTTCTGCTGTAACTACCTTGTTAATATTGTTTAGGTTTCCTATTTAAAAAATGTTTATATTATTTTGATATATATTTATATCTAGTAATTATATCTGAAAGTTTAAAATACAACAAATCATTTAAATTTTGCATCACTGTTAAAGAGATGATAAGTTATAGTGATTATGTTACTACTTTCTTTTGTTTATTTCACCTGATTTTAAAATTCTTCTTTTTCAGGCAATTTCTTGTCACTTCCAATTTTATTTTTAAAAATTGTACCATCATACTTTTGTATCATTTCTATAACAAACTCGTTTTTAGCTATTTATTTAATTTTACTTATCTTTGATAAATCTACAAATCTAAAAAATATAAAGAGTAAGATTACAAGCCTAATGTTAATTGTGAACCTTTTTACAAAGTTTGATCAGCCATTTTGTTGGTTTCCTTTTTTGATATTTCTTTCAAGACTTTTAATTTTATATGGAGGAGTTAGTTCTATAAGAGTTTAATTTTTTTTTTTCTTATAAGTAAATTTAGAACCCTAAGATTTTGTTTTATCAAGTATTAAATATTTTTTCTATCAGATAATAGGTATTAGATATTAATATTTCAATATTCTGCATACTGAATCTAATATCTCCTTGTAATTTAGTAATTTCTCCTAATATCTCCTTGTAATTTAGCTTTCTGTTAGATAAGAAAAATTAAAATTTCAAAAGGTGTGGAGAAATATCATGTTTAAGTAGAAAAAAAAAAGTTCTTTATTTTTTAGATTATTCTTCAATAGTAATACCAATAAAAGACTGAAATGTTTTACCTATTTAAGTTAGTCAATATATGCACACTCTCAATGTGTCACTATCAGGCATTGTGATAACTCCAAATTTAAATAAGTTCATTGTAATGTAAGAATATTTTGAAAAATTGTGATGATTAGAGCCTGGGAACAAAAATACCCAAAAGGTTTGCTGCCCCTACTCCAAATGTGAGGGTAATGAGTCAATCAAATATTTTAACCTATTATTTTATGCTAAATTTGAATTCGTTGACAAGTTTTAAATTTCATTGAATAATCCTTTAGGTTTTGAAATGTGATTTTTCATGTACCCTGAAATGAGGGTGTTTTCATACATCGTGAAATTTTGCAGAAACACCCTGAAATGAGGGGGTTGTAAATTTTTAATTGTCATAACTTTTGAACATTTAAAATTTATTAGATAAAATTTAAAACTTGTCGATGAGTTTAAATTTAGTATAAAATAATAAGTTAAAATATTTTTTTAATTCATTACAATCACATTTCTTCTTAGGCTCCAAGTAATACAATTTTTCCAAAAAAAGGTAAGGATAAACCTGCAAATTTAGAGTTTTTTAAAATACTTGAAATGTCATTACTAAACATCCTCCACACTTACTTATATACACTTACTTAGTTTTGTTTTGATTACTCGTGACAGATATTCAATAAATCTTTTGTTGATCTGTCATGATTGTCAACTGATTTCTAAAAGTTCATGTTTTTGGATTTAATACATAAAGGCATTAGTAAAAAAATCATTCAACCTTGATTTTAAACTTGAAATTCTTCTATAAATCTCCATAATGAAATGTCAAAATTATTTCAAATATCTCCATACTATTTATTAATTATCTCCATATTAATGTTTATTTCTAATTGTTTAGCTAAAAAATTGTTTTTTAAAATGTATATCACTAATGTATATTACTATCACAGATATTTAGCATAATCATAAATCTTAGTGTGAATAGATGTAAAAGTATTCTTACCATAGTGAAGTGGGTAATGAAATGTCTTTAACTGTTGTTAAGCACCTAAAAGAATTTGTCTTTTTAGGAATCGTGTGTGTTTTAACAGTTTTTTCTTGACTTCATTATATTTATATATAAAAAATATTGGGTCAGACAGTGTTTTAAAATTTAATTTTTACTGTTTTACGGAACTGAGTTACGAGACAATTAAAATCTTTGTCATGTTATTCAGTTCATTTTAACGTTAGTCTAGTGAAGTTGTAGTTTCTTTCCTTATTATTTAGAAATTTTAATCGCAGCTTTTTGATTTTATAATAAAATAGTTTCAATTTAATGTTTTTTAGATGTTACTGACAACGTTTATTTTTTTTTTCTTTATAATTTGGCTGCTTTGATGTTTTAACAATTTAAATGCAATAAAAAAAAATCGTTATGTTACAAATAACTTTCAAACATTAATTTTTTTTAAATTTTTATTTTATGTGAAGTTTTTAAAATCAAAAAATAATTATAATGATCATTTAAAATAAACACATAATGTGTAAATTAAATGTTATATTAAAAAAATTTTTATTAGTGGGTATGTATTTTTTATGACAAATTTTAACGTTTGAAACTATTATTCCATGTCGTTCTAAAAATCTTTCAAAAGATTATTTTTCAAAGTTGCTTTGTGAATAAGTTAAATTGAAACATGATTTAATTGCTTTATTTTTTATTATTACTAATCAAATCATGTAATGATTAAAAGTTACAATTTTAAAAAGACTATGATGTTTTTTTAAACAATTTTTTTTGCAACTTTTTTTAAAAAATGTTCATACAACTTAAAAATATCATACTTTTTTTCTTTTCAATAACTTTATTTCACTTTTTAATAATTTAAATAAAATTTGCTCCTTTGTTAAATAATCGATAGAAAAAATGTGTAAAAGCGTTTTACATAACTTTAATTAAATGTTTTAAATTATCAGTTTTAAAGTAATTTTTTTTGCTATTTTTTTTGCTATCCAAGCTCTATTTTATAGAACTTAATTCCTGTTGGTCAAAATGTCCGATTACTTTGTAAACTGATCAGACAATCTGAGGTTTTAGCTGGACAATGTCTGATGTCTGATCATTAAATTGAGCTCTATATATATTTATATATATATATATATATATATATATATATATAAATATATATATATATATATATATATATATATATATATATATATATATATATATATATATATATAGTATATAGTATATAGTATATATATATATATATATATATATATATATATATATATATATATATATATATATATATATATATATATATATATATATATATATAGTATATAGTATATAGTATATAGTATATATATATAGTATATAGTATATAGTATATATATATATATATATATATATATATATATATATATATATATATATATATATATATATATATATATATATATATATATATATATATATATATATATATATATATATATATATATATATATATATATATATATATATATATATATATATATATATATATATATATATATATATATATTGATCCTCATGAATATTTTGACATATATATATATATATATATATATATATATATATATATATATATATATATATATATATATATATATATATATATATATATATATATATATATATATATATATATATATATATAATGATCCCCCATTTCATTTTGACCCTCATGAACAAATTTTAACACACAGTGTCATAAAATATTACCAAGATATTGTTTTCTTAATGAAATTTTTTTTATTTTTAAATTTAGATGACTATTTATACTCGTGCCTCTCTTTTAAAGTTGACATTTTAACATTTTTTGAGTTTTTACAGGCATTTTCAAACAATCAGCGCAAATAGAAATTTACAAATCATTAACTGTATAATAACGTCATTACGAGTAATAAAAGGTTTTTTAATCTATACCGATTGTGCACATTTTTATTATTATTGTTTTTGTTAATTGGTGGTATTTTAAAAACGCACAAATTCGTTATGAAATTAAAAAAATGTGGTGTTTAAACTTGATAGCGTTGAGGCCCAATACACAGCAATTAGAAATTTTTTTCTAAGTTCACCCACTTCAAGCCCTGGCTGTTTAAAAAGAGTTTGTACAAGATTAGCTAAGTTTCCTGGCCAACCATTATTCTTGTTAACCTCATGTCGGAGAGCTTTATATAGACATAGCCGTAAATAAAACTGTTAAGCTGGGGAATAAACTATATCATAAAACCATAAAAGGTTAAAAAACAGTAAGTTAAAGATAAAACTGTTTCACATAAAAATATTTTTTTGAAAAAACAAAATGAATAAGTTTCTAATTTTAAATTTAATTAGATATTTTTGAATATCTTTTGAAAAGTGCAGAGACTATTGGGAACTTGCGGAAAAAAATCAGACCATTAGGTTAAAATTATCAAATATGAAGCTGTTTCAAACGTCTTAAATTTCATGAAATTCGAGTTGCATTTCTTTAAAATCAGGCAGATTTTTATTCTGAGTAATAAAATACTCAAAGAGATTAATATAATGGCTGACTAAATTTCTCTCTCCAGGGAATTGCGGTTTTTAACTTGTGACTTTTCTGATTCTGCATTTTTTAAAGTAAAACTTAATTTAATAAGTTTTGATATTTTAGTCCTAAACAAGAAACATATTTCTTGTTTTAAGAAAAATATTTTGTAATAAAAAACTCAATTTTGGTGTACTTACAGTGAAATTTATTCAAGATAATGTAGAGCATGTGATGAGCAAAGAGAAGCTCCAGTAGCTACTTCAAATAAAGAGTTCTTGTAAAAAAACCATTAAAAAAAGATGAGTGGATTCGATGAGAAAGCTATGGCAACTGCTTTCTCACTTTCTCATAATTGAATGGTTCTAGTAAACCAAATAAATCTAACTGCAAACTCAATCAAAAAAATTTCAAAAAAAATTATTTTTTTTAATATTTTCTTGAGGTGTTTGTCTTAAGCTGAAAATTTATATGTACATAAATATTTATTGCACATTTGCAGCATTTAAACGCTAAATTCTAAAGCAAATTTGCTACAGAAACTAAGGGGTAAACAGATTAAACTTAAGGGGTAAAACAGATTCACCCTTAGGTGCTTCTGATCATGGT